GGGCAAACTCTTTGGAGTCCAAGGTCTTCATCTGATTTGTAGAGGCATTTAGATTAAGATGGAAAAATAATGTTTAGAACTAACCTCTACACCAAAGATGACGGAATGGCTTTATTGAGCCAGTCTGGCAACAAAAACAAAAGGAGGGAAGTATCTCCACTAAGCCCTGTGGTCTCTAAAGAAAAGATAGCGATGCCGTGAGGCACACTCACACAAGGACACATACAAAAGAGGACAATTCATCTTTTGTTGCTGTCCCTGAATTCTATCAGAGTAGTTCTGTGATAGCAGAGAGTAGTTGGCCATCTCATAGGATTCACGCTGGGTTTCACAAGAAATACAGAGAGAACTGCTTATTCTGTAAGTATGTGCACCAAACAATTCTGAGTGTAGCTTTCAAACTGCAGCTAGCAGCTTTATGAGACTCCTTGGTACATGAAAGCTACAATGCGATTTTTAAATTGACAGGTTGTTTGAGCCACTGACCTCAGCTTTGATATCAACAGAGGCAAACTGCTATCAGCTCACATTTGGCACCGTACAATGCTTAATGAAGATCTCCTTCAATCTCGGGATTTCTTTTCCTTAAGAATGGTATAATGTCTTTACAACATGGTGTTAAGTAATATACACTTGCTGTGATCATTCTGTCACTGCTTAATCAGCCTGCTTTAAATGATTTGTGGTTACATTTCATACTCTAGTACTTTTCACGCAGTATATGACTAAATCACAGTAGATTACTAAGTCAATATATTTATATTGGCAGAACCTGAAGAAACATTGATTTTACACTTTCTTCTATTCATTTATTTATTATGAAAACTCTATCCAGTTCCACTGACTAGATAGATTTTAGGGGAGAGATTTTGCAGGGAGCAATGGCAGTAGCTATCAGAAAAGATGCTTATTGTTTTCATTAGTTACGGTGGCAAGGACAAAGTGGAGCCCAAACAGAAGGCAGACCTGCTCTGGCTAAATAGAGCAGGATGACATAAAGGAAAGGGTAAGATGGTAAAACTGTCTATATTTCAATCTACTTATTGCCATTAAACATGCTTTGATTATCATTATTGCAAAGGTTCCAAATGAGGCTAACTAAAATAAATAAATGTTAATTTAACGAGTTAATAGAATGTTTCCCAAACTCTACAAACAAAGGCTATAATTCCATTTAGAGGACTCTTGTGACATAAGCCATGTCAGCAAAGCTCAAGTGATCTGTCAATGTCATCAGAACCTAGAGGTGGATGGAAGCTTTGTATTTATGGGTATTTCAGGGATTTATAACCAAAAATCTGTGGTACCCCTGAAATTCATGAGAGGTGCTGAGACGCTATAAAGTAAATAATTATTGCTTAAGCTCTAAAAGGTAGCAGTTTGTTGCTGGAAAGCAATGAAGGTCAAACTCTGTAAGTGTTGTTTACAGAAATCTTTTTTTAGCATAAAGATACCTGCAGGAATGTTAAAACCCAGTTTCTCATTCATGCTGGTTGCACCAGCCTGAGTGGCAGATGACTTGATGCCTGCAGTAAGAGGCAAGAAATTCAGAGATACTCCTGGTGGCAACTTAATAAAAACATATTTCAACTGAAGAATGCAGTTTATTTCTTGTTGCTAGCTGTTGGAGTGAGCTAGTTCTCCTTGGAGGCCAGTGGCTTCATATTCAGAAATACTGAACGCATGAATCAACTCACAGAGTTACAGGTGCCCAGAAACTTTATCTTGAAACCTTAAAGTCACGGAAAAGTTTAAAGACCTTCAGTAGTTAGGCAGGTTCTAGAAAGAAACCCCAAACAAACAACAAACCAGACTTCTTATTTTCCACTTTGACATGGAGAAACATGAGGAGTGATTTGCCAAGTTGGCGTAATTACTGAGAAGGCATTTCCTTACAATCTGTGAGTTATACCTCTGGAAGAGAGTGCCTCCATTAAAGACCTTTCAAAATACGATAGAATCTAACAAACCTGACCTCCTAATGTAAAATAAATCCTGCTTGATGGGGTTAGTTCTCATTATATCCCACAGTCCCCTCTCAGCCAAGCCATTTGCTCCAGCAAAACCACTGTTCAGTCATGTTAATACACCATTCCCAGGGAAGTATGGAAAGCTTTGCCATGGGAGTCTTGTTCTCTGCTGTTTGAATAAAGGAACTACGTTTCCAGGAGACTATATTATAACACTGAGTGCATTTTTTAGTTAAGGGATGAATTTTGAAACATTTTACTACACGGACACTAAAATCAAAACATTACATGTGCTGTTGCCTAGGTAGTAACAACTTGGTAAAAACCTCAACCGAAGAAAGAATCTAGAAAAACAATGAAGAGAATATAAAAATTCCCATTATAAAAATTCTGTCAGGACAATAACACTGCATCTGGCTCCATGCTAGAATCAACAGAAGATACATATGTTGAGTAGTATTACCAACGTTACTGCATAGTGCTTTCTGGCAAGGAGACAATAAAGAATTTTTCCTGTGGCAAATACGTACTTTGAAAACACATGAAAAGTGTGATATAGATAGAATACAGACATTTCCCTCAAATGAAACACAGACCAAATCAAAGCCTCTGCAGTCCAGTATCCTATTTCCTATATAGGGGAAGGAAAATGAAATGACTCCAGGAAGAAAGAGACAACAGTATTTAAGAACTAGAATCAGCTGTGTATCTAGACTGTTACGACTCCCAAATCTCCCATCTGGACTACACTCAGGAAAATCTGTTCTCTGAGGAGAATAAATGACCAATTTATTATTTATGGGGTGACAGAGCAAAATTAAGATATCTCAGAAGCTAACAGAAGAACTATGGATATTCTGAGGTTCATGTTGCTTTGAGTCACAGAAGAAAGAAATAGCATGCAACAAGAACCTAAGCTCACATACCGTTACTCAGGTTAAGTGCCTAACTGCAATGAGATTTCAACTGTTGAGCCAACTTCCACTACAGACGAAAAGACAGCTGTGGTCCTTTCTTTCCCTGGTATCACGGGAGAACTGTACAATGCCATGCTACCACTGGACTGCACTTGAGCGCTATACCAAAAGCATCTGATGCCTCAGTGGAACTGTGGAAAATAATACGTCTTTATAAACAGCAATACAGGAACTCTATTAAGATTACCCCAAATACACTGAAGCTTGCTGTATTCAGACACATTATCTCAACAGACTTAGAATGACAAAGGAGAGTTGAACTTTTAGAGACCTTCTTACTTTCCTTCTTTATTTTCTTCCCAATAGGACTTAGCATTTTCCACATAATTTTTCCCCTTGGAGTAAGGATTCTCACATCTGATCCAAGACCAGCCTGACAGGATGTTCCTGAACTCATTACTGCTGGTGGACAGTAGCAGTTTGGAATAGAGTCTGATGTGGCTTATATATATATATATATATATATATCAGGTTTTCCATTCAGAATGTTTTCTGTGTAATTACTAAAGTCAACATTTTTGCCCTTCTACAGAAAAACAGCAACTATGACTGTACCAGGGAAAAGGATATAATTTAAAGAGGAAGGGTTAGGAAAGAGCAGGCAGTGCTTAAAGCCCGATTATTTAATTGCAGTAGTCTTCCTTCAGCTATACTGGAAAAGAACAAAAGTAGGATTATGAAAAAAATAAAGAAAGCCCTTATTTCTAAATGCCTAAAATCTGAAGAACTGAGAATAAATACAGCCTGAGATAAACATAACAGACACATGAAAAGCTGCTTCCTGCTAAGGCAAAGCTTGGTTGGTGTCTACCATGTATCCCACCTGTGCCCTTCCCACTATTACTTTAGGATCTGAAAACAAAGTAGACAAGAACAGAAGCTTAGTGGCATAGCTGATACACAGAGGACAGGTATACAAGGACAAGCACTTGAACGTTAGTCACTGTTACTGGCTCAAATTTAGTCTTGTTTGTCATTTATGAACAACAAAGTGACAAGCGTGCACTAAAAGGTGTATGAATAATATGACCGAACGTGTTTCCCTCTAGGTCTTTTCTTTTTGATTCACAAAGCACGAAAGCAGCGAGTAACAACATTCCTATTTTCAGCCATATTTAAGGATATACTGAAAACTTACTGGTTTAAGTGGTATATTAAGGATGGAAGAGTACGCTTATGTTGACTATTTTATTGAAATGGGACACAATTCTGAAGCTTGAATTTGGTAACACTCTGCTTGTTATCCCCTTCACAGCTACAAGACTGAGCACTGCAATTCTATTTATAAAGTCTCTTTGGTGATGTTTCTAGTAAATTAGTGACTAATGGAGCTCCTTAGAGCTACAAGGTACTGGATATTAGAGCCTTCAGGATGCAACAGTGCATCACAGAGCTACATGTATAAAGGTTACAATGAGTGACAGAACTTTTGGATTAGACTGGTTTTGGCTTATACGGAATAATTTTTTTAAAACAGGCATAGACATAACATCCTCTTTTTTTCCTTAGAGCTTGTGCCAAAAAAAATAGTAAGTTTGCAAATGGATATTAAGCAATGCCAGATATTTTCTGGGTTTGTTTTAACAAATTAACCCTTTGCGTTCTTTACTGATGTCCAAATAATTGTATTGGAAGCAGATGTTCTAGCAGAATTGACATGATCAAAAGACATTATGCTCACTTATTAACATACTGTTTAATATTCACTACAACCTGTTTTAAAGAACAACAATGTGTTAACATTTAAGCCAGGAGGGATTTCTGTACACTATATAGTACTTGATGCAGCTTGTTTATGCAACAGTCTGACAGATACAATTAATCTCATGAAAACTACCAGAGTACAGCATAATGGCGTATTATTTCTGAAGTAATAGAACACACTTTCCCTTTGAAAATCAGAACTTAATTAAATGATATAACTTCTGGATGCAGAGAAAAGCTCTAAAAGACTGATGCTCATTCTGAAGGACAGTTAAAGGCAAAAATGGTAGATTCTATGCAGAGAGAAAAATATGATAATCTCCAAACAAGAGAAAGAAGTAAGAAATACCTCCAACAAATGCATCTCCAGCTCCATTGGTGTCCACAATTTCACTCTGATCACTCACCAACACAGGAAAAGTAGTCACTTCATTTTCTGCCGTGGAAGAGGAGAATAAAACATAAGTTACTTGGAAATATGACTTTGAAAAGGAAAACAAACAGCGAAAATCAAAGCAATTCAAAACTGGAGCTCTGACCTTTAACATGACAATTTGGATAAAAATAGATTGGGTTTATAATTCTGTCTGTATTTACTGCATAGGGATACAGGAACATACTTGATCAAGCTATTTGTTGGGACATTTTCATTAATTGCTTCCAGCCTCATTTCTTTTATCTCCTATTATTAAGGGCAAGAAGAAAAAAATTAGAAGGAAAAACATAAAACATATGGACAAGCCTAAGAAAATCCCATCCTGCTGAAAAAGCTTCTTATTAGTTGCAGAGAGGTGATGCAGTCTCCAGAATGGCCAGTCCAAGCCTCCAAAAGTTCAACAGAAATTGCTGCACTGTAAAAACCAAAATGCACATGAACTAACTTAAATAAAGCTGTGAATTAAAAAGCAGAAACTAGTGTAAATCAAAGTGCTCTCGAATGACATCTTTTAAAAACCCCCACATATGTAAGAAGCTTTGCAGCTTGCCATCTGACTAGATTTGGTTTCAAGATTTCAATGACTTCATCCTCTTCCTTAGCATTGCTTTTTAAATATTTCCTTCTCTGCAGCTCCCTGCCCTCTACTGGCACTCGTTAAACCTATTGCAATAGGTGGATACTCGGCATCTTCACCTCCAGTTCACTGCCACACCACAGTTCAACATAATTACACCACTTAGGTATGATAACTTTAGAGTTCTAGGGTTATAAATTTAATATATGCCACTAATTAATCAGCTATGGCTTTCCAGGTGGTAATGTCATAATGACGTGATAAAAATATAATTACCACCTTGTCACAATACCTTGTTAAAGTGTAAATTACCCCTGTAACAGAGCCAATGGAAGTTCTGCCTCTGGTAGTCAGTATGCATTAAACTGTCTCAGAGCAAACAGATTGTCCTTTGGCAGACAGCGGGAATTAAAAAAAGGGGAGGGGGAAGAAAAGCCTGTCAACCAGTGAAAATGAAAACCATCAGAGCTGTTTTCTTTTATTTTTTGGAAAAAATAGAAATAAAATGGGAACTAGATTCTCCAGTAGCTGAAAGCTGGAGATGAGTAGCTTCTTCACTGTCCAGCAACAGAGCAGGTCATAAAAATCACTCTTATACCGACATACACAGTAGCAAACAAGGAAACCTAGTTTGGGAGGCATATAAAGAATTCACAGTCTCAAATCAGGCAAGTCTGTGTATGCTGCAGTAGTACCAGAAGGATCCTGGTTTCTGTGAAATGCAGTGTATCAGCTCTACTGCTCTTCACCATCTGCTACTAAGTGAACCAGGCAGATATAATGATGCTGCCTCCAGAGGGAACTGTTGGCTGGCCCACCAGGAGGGGAGGGGAGCATTAGCAACAACCATCCATGAGAGGCAAAGGAAAAAGCGTAATGAAAAACATAAGATGAATATTCCAATTAAAGAAAAGGCTTCAGTCAGTTCTCAGTGCATCCTATTCTCTATCCTGTTAAGAAAGCGATTTAGAAACGTGCTTCAATGCTGTGTTGTGCTCTTAAGATAGTCTTCAAGAGCAATGTTTTTTAGTAATTTTAACAGGATTAATTTGAATTGGAAATCAAGAAAGGGAGGTCTTACTTTAAACTCTGCCAGATGAGCAGAGTGTATTCATCCATTTCATAAGAAGGTATAAATGATTTGTTCTAGATAATACTAAAACAATGAACAAAACAATAACTCTGTTGAAGACACATTGTAATAAACCAACCTGTTTCCTTCCCAAGTGTCCATGGCCACAGACAGATGTTCTACGTTAAATACACAGCAGACACTAGCATATGCATAGAAATGCGTGTGTTTGGGCACAGAGAGTGAATAATACACAGACTTTGTATTTTGAATGCTGCAAATGGGGATTGGCATCAAGTAAGATTCAAGCAGACTAACAGAAACGAGTTCTCACCATCATCTTTCTCCCTTCTTTTCCTCCTCTGTCTTGATTTCTTCCCTCAGCTCCCTCTAGTACTTGCAGGTAAGTACTGCACTATGAGCTCTTACTCTGTTGTTTCTGCAGTAGATGTAGGAAGTCTAAGACCCCAGATACATCAAGGAATTCAGCTGGTATGAAAATATTTTCCCCTCCCCCCAATCACAGTTTTGCATCTCTACCTGGGTCATACATTCTGTCTCTATAACTTTAGGTATTTTCAAGAGGAGCAATAATCTCATATTTTGAATTACTGAAGTTTCAGAAGAAGCCAGCATGGCTTTGGAACACATACTGCATTGTAAAGATATTACCATCTGCACACATCCAACAGGCAAAAGATCTTTCTATAACCTTAAGAGAACTTCTACTAGCACAGTAGAGTCTACTAAACTATTGCTAATAATAACACATTGAAAGATACAACAAAACAATAGAGGTGGTAGTTTTTTTCTTTCCTTCACAATAAATGAAGTCAGAATTAAAGCTGCCATTAAATTACCTTATGTCTGTGTCATAACATAAAAATAGTTAACATACTTTACCAATCTGTGTTCTGTAACAACTAGGCATAGCAGGGTGAATTAAGATGAAGCAGAAGTCTCCATTCTGAACATCCTAGCTTTTGTGACTTTAATGTTGCTTTAACTTCATTTTTGTGTGTCATCTATTATATTATAAAACTCCCGAATCCATCATAGTGAACACAGAGACACCTTGGCCAAGTGCACTGGTCATCAGTGGCCTTGCTTTTCAAAGTCAGTTCTGATTTCATTTATCATTCCGAGAGCTTATGAAATAAAGAATAATTACGTAAGTGTTCTGAAGTCCAAGTGCTGCTCCTCGGGGCATAAAATCCAGTGTTCTATTTTTAAGCAACAAATATCTTCTGTGATACACACCCTGGGATACAACACATTCCACTTGGATATCATTTCCTGGAAGCCCAGAATTGTGAGTGCAAATTGCAACAAGGTGTCTATAATTAGGGGAGTTTTACTAACAAGCATTAATGAAATCTAAAACTTTAGAATCTCTGATTCAACTCTCAATGATTTTACATTAGAGAGGAACTCAACTCTTTTAGAATTACATAGAAATAATCAGAATCAAACATTAATGGGTTGATGTCACAGGCTGAAGACAATAGTCACAAATAAATCAGAAGGAATCAGCTTACTGGTGAATTTAATCACTGCTAACCTGTTGCATTATGTGCACAGAAATGTGAAATCTATCTTTATTTTCCTCAAGTGAAGATATGCACTAGCATATCAAGCTTAAGATATTTTTGTGGGTAAAACAGTCTGGAGAGATAACTGGAGAGCAGTATTAACTGAGAGAACAGTGTCCTTTCCATTCTAATACATTTCAGCTCCCAAATGAACACAAGCCTATTTCACGATGTTAACTGAAACAATCAAACTCTGATGATAGCTGCATATACTGCAGGTCTGTCTTTAAACCAAACTAGAATCACAGACTACAAGTCTACTCTTAGTACAGTAATAAACACCAGCAAACAATCATTACATCCAATTAGGCAGAGTACTTTCCTTAACTGGGTCATTTACCAGTCTCTCTTGCTCTTGAAAGTAGATTAAATGTGTAAACTTACATTTAATTACCTGTAACAGAACTCTTACGGGCAACACGTTGGAGTGTCCTTAACTTTGTATTAAAACAAAATAAAAGGAAGAAGGGAGCCCTAAAATACATATAAAAATGTGTAGCTATTTCCTCAGCTAATCTTTTGATCCATGGGCTGGTAGTGATAGGACAGATGCTTAAAAGATGGAGACACATTCATGTTTCTTTTGTGAGTTTTAACTTGTAAAAGAAAGGAACAACTGTGAAACAGAGTTCTGTCCCATCTCCTCCCCACCTCCGTCCTCTCTAATTTTCTTTAGATCAAGGGCCAAAAGCAGATAAAAAGAAAGGAGGGGAGAGGTGGGGGGAAGACAGGAAGAACTTAACAGAACATAGAAACCTGAACTCAAAACCTGTAAGTGTCTCTGGGCAGCTATAAGGTACGAACTAATGAGAAAAGGATTTGAAAGAAGCCCATGTAAGTCACGATGATTCTGAGCTTTTACATCTCTCCAGAAAGTAGAACCCAGAAGCCTATAGGCTCCAAGTCTCTATACCTCTTCTGCACATTGGATCATCTCTAAAAATCATAGAATAACACCACTTTTCCTGTTTGGATTTTTTTTTTTCTTTTCTAGGTAAAAAATGTCATTCTGCTGTACTTCACACAAAGATACCACACTCGGTAATGTATATCAAATACATACTGCAACTCTCCCACCATATCAGCACAGCACTGTCCAAAGGTACAAGGCAATGTGGAGCAGGGCAGTGCATGCTGAACCCCTGGTCAGAAATCCTTAAGACTTCCAGTGATGATATATTTCAAGTCTGGCAGTGCTAATTCACCCCATTGTTTCTAAGCAAACAGCATGAGATTCAGCATTTTCAGGCTGGGGCTCTCAGATAGCTGTACTGGATGAACACTCCAGCCCCCCTGGCACTTTCTGTGTGCATGTTAAGTTTCCCTTGTTTTGCATGGCAACATCTCCTCTCTCCTCCATCTAGTTCTGTGCATTTTTTTGGCCTGGTGCTGTAGCTATGTATGGCTTGTCAGAAAAATAAGGAATTTATTTGTGGAAGTCAATGGAGCTAAATAGCGTAACAAGTGAGATGCAAGTCAGCCACATGCTTCAGGATCTTTCTAACCAAATATTTTAATAATACACAACAAATGATGCAGTATTCTAATGAATTCAACATGCAGCCAAGAAAACCTCGTAACTAGCAATATAGAAGTTAAGCCCTTATTGCTACAACAAACAATGCTACCCTAAACAAGTTATAGAGTAGCTGTCATTTAGAAGACATTTATACATCTATGGAATGATACAATTAATACAAATAATAATTTATTTCCATAATAAAAGACCCAAGTAGTGTAATCAGGCTAAAATTCTCTT